AATGCAATATAGTTGGTGGCGAATCGAGTGGTAGCTGGACGAATAATTTCTCCTCTGCAAAATTCACGCATATTTGCCAACAACCAACCGTGATTGTAAATATAATTAGTGATCGTTCCAGCTCTTTTGACCACAGTAGCAACATTCTCTCTCTTCCCCATTGCCTCAAACATAAGATCAATACAATGTGCTGCACATGATGTCCAAAACACATTATGATGCTTCATTAACTTTTTTCCAGCTTTGACAAATGCAGAACCGTTGTCGGTCACGACTTGGACAACATTATGCTCTCCCACCTCCATGATTACATCCCTCAATAATTTGTAAATATACTTGTAATTCTTTATATGGTCTGAAGCATCAACAGACTTCAAAAAAAATTGTCTTGCCCTTGGAATATACCATGAAGTTGATGATAGATAATCTGGTCGGGCCGGTCCATCCGTCACACATGATTGTGCAACCATTAGTTTCCCACTTTGACCTCAACTTGTTAACATACTCGCCAATGTCTTTTATACTCCATATCCAAATATTTGTTTCTTATCTCATAGGGAGTGGGAGGTTGTACTCCAACACCGGCCTGTTGACATCCCACTACCATATTTTTGAAATGATGTGTGATGAAGCCTTCGCAGCAGGGACATTTTCATAGATAAAGAACTTGCTAATTAGACGCCCCATTCCCTCCTTCACATTACCTCCCTTGAAATAACTCCAAACACTCTTTTGACGTGCGTTGGATGACTTATATAAACTTGGGGCTATTGGTGGTGTTGGTTGGTTGTGATTCTCTAAGACTGCCTCCCCGTCTCATTTGTGCACCACCACTTGTCCCGGAACCTTGTCCCCTATTAGGAATTTTATGAAGGTGTTCTCTTTCCCATGCTGACTGTTTGGAGGCACGTAATGCTTGTTTCAAACTGCGTCGTTCTTCAGGTCCCATGTCATCATCACATTCGTCCTCATCGTCATCATCATCACTGCCAACCGCTTGGCCATAGACTTCTCCCCGTAGCCCAGCTCGAATATTTTCCATTCCTTGTGTCATCTTTTCCTTCTGCTGTTTTTTATTTTTTAATAATGTGCTGATGAATGCCTTCACTTCTGGGGGACATTATCGCATCGTTGGACATTTTTTGCTGGATCTAATCCACTAAGATGGTACTTAAGTCGTGTCACTCCACCACTCTTCATTACCCGACCACAATATTTGCAAATTGTGCCATGTTTGTTTCCGTCTATTGGGTCGCCATGTTCCCAAGCTGGATCACGTTTACTAGCTCCACTAGACATCTTAAACGTACCTACATTTATTTTTCATGAAAATTAGACAAAAGAATTAAATAATAAAGTTATTCTACAGAACCTAAATAATAAAGTTATTCTACAGAAGAATACAATATGAAGTAAAGAAAATGATTGTAAAAATTTAAGTAATTAAAAAATTAATATGGAATAATAAAACCTAATATTAATGAATAATAATCCAATTTGATAAAAAAATAATCCTAATATAAATGATGAATAATATTCCTTTTTTATAATAATCCTAATATAAATAATCCTACTATAAATGATGATAATTATGTTTCATGAAAATAATCCTAATATAAAACATAGTGAAGAATAATATTCCTTTTTGATAATAATCCAATTTAATAATAATCCACTTTAATAATAATTCAATTTAATGAATAATCCAATTTGATAATAAAAAAAACCTAATATTAATGAATAAAAATGAATAATTCGTTTTTTTTTTCCTAAGTTTTGGACCTTTTGGTTCAACCCAACCCAACCCAAGTGTGGTTATGTTTGAGATTTGGGCCTAAGGTCAAGTTTGGAGACTACATTGAGTGGGCTTTAATGAATAGTCCAATTTGATAATAAGCCAATTTAATGAATAATCCAATTTAATGAATAATAATCTAATTTTATAATAATCTAATTTAATGAATAATAATCCAATTTGATAATAAAAAAACCTAATATTAATGAAGAATAATCCTATTTGATAATAAAACCTAATATTAATAAAATAATAAATAACATTAAACATATTAAAATTATCGTAGGGAATAATTATACAACATTACTTAATTACTTACAAAAAATTAAAAAGTAATTGTTAACATTACTTAACTACTTACAAAAATTAACATGCAAGTATTAATTACTTAAAAAAATTAACATACGAGTCCACACAAATTTATTTGTTGTTGTATAAATTACAATAATATAAATATAAGTTTGTAAACTTACCTTAAATATGGAACCCTTTGTGTTCAAGCTTTGGAATGGATCTGGAATGGCTTTGAAAATGGTAAGGGAAATAAAATAATAAATAACATTAAACATATTAAAATTATCCTAGGGAATAATTATACAACATTACTTAATTACTTAAAAAAAATTAACATGTAATTGTTAACAATACTTAATTACTTACAAAAACTAACATGCAAGTATTAATTACTTAAAAAAAATTAACATGCAATTGTTAACATTACTTAATTACTTACAAAAACTAACATGCAAGTATTAACATTACTTAATTACTTACAAAAACTAACATGCAAGTATTAATTACTTAAAAAAAATTAACATGCAATTGTTAACATTACTTAATTACTTACAAAAACTAACATGCAAGTATTAACATTACTTAATTACTTACAAAAACTAACATGCAAGTATTAATTACTTAAAAAAAATTAACATGTAATTGTTAACATTACTTAATTACTTACAAAAACTAACATGCAAGTATTAATTACTTAAAAAAAATTAACATGCAATTGTTAACATTACTTAATTACTTACAAAAACTAACATGCAAGTATTAACATTACTTAATTACTTACAAAAACTAACATGCAAGTATTAATTACTTAAAAAAAATTAACATGTAATTGTTAACATTACTTAATTACTTACAAAAACTAACATGCAAGTATTAACATTACTTAAAAAAATTAACATGCAATTGTTAACATTACTTAATTACTTACAAAAACTAACATGCAAGTATTAACATTACTTAATTACTTACAAAAACTAACATGCAAGTATTAATTACTTAAAAAAAATTAACATGTAATTGTTAACATTACTTAATTACTTACAAAAACTAACATGCAAGTATTAACATTACTTAATTACTTAAAAAAATTAACATGCAATTGTTAACATTACTTAATTACTTACAAAAACTAACATGCAAGTATTAATTACTTAAAAAATTTACATACGAGTTCACACAAATTTTTTGTTGTTGTATAAATTATAAGAATATAAATATAAGTTTGTAAACTTACTTTAAATATGGAACCCTTTGTGTTTAAGCTCTGGATCTGGAATGACTTTGAAAGGGGTAAGGGAAATAAAATAATCGAAAAGGCTCCTCTGATACTGATACTCCACCTCTTGAAATTTTTTCACAATGACAACTTTGAACGAGTTCACACAATAACTCTGAAACTCCACCTTTTAAAACAATATTGGCACACGGTTTTGAATGAAACCACCGTCCATGGTTTGAAAAGACTACTGATGATAATGGTAAAAGCTGCATAAAATTGTCCAAATAATTGTTCGTGTTGTCGAGAATATGGAGTGAGTCATGTGTCCTCCTGACAGGAGGAACCCACACACACACAAATGACCACCATTCATGGTCTGAAAAGAATACAATTGATAATTGTAAAAGCTGCATGAAATTGTCCAAATAATTGTAAAAATATTGAGTGAGTTGTATCCTCCTGACAGGAGGAACCCACACACATCATCACTGTCAAAAGACACATCGCACGCACACACAACGCACGCACGCAGACCACCTCAGTCTCTCTCTCTCTCGATCCTTCTCGTTCTCTCTTCTCCCTTCTCTTCTTCCAAACACACACACACACACAGAGCTCCTCAGTCTCTCTCTCTCTCGATCATCCTTCTCGATCTCTCTTCTCCCTTCTCTTCTCCCACACACACACTCACACAGAGAGCTCCACAGGTTGACATCGGATCCAAGTCCAACACACGCACACACAGAGATCGGACTCACAGAGATCTCTGATCTCTCTTCTGCCAAACACACACACGCACACAGAGATCTCTCGATCTCTCATCTCCATTCTCCGATCTCTCTTCTCCCTTCTCCGATCTCTCTTCTCCCAAACACCCACATACAAAGAGAGATCTCTGATCTCTCTTCTCCCAAACACACACACACACACACACACAGAGATCGCCGTTGATCGTGGCTCAGGCGAAGTCAGAGGTGCGCCGCTGAGCAAGGATCGTTCGTATTCCGCTTCGTCAGGTGAGATTCCATGAAACCCTAAACCCTAATCTCTCCGACTTCACCCTGCCTTGAATCGTTTATGCATGCGTGAAATCTGATGTATATTTGTGAAATTGATGTTAAGATTCGTGTTTTTGCAAGGTTTTTGGGACGAAACCGGCCCGGGAATCGCCCCACCGTCTCCGGCGTTCTTCTCCGACGTCGCCTCGGATTCCGATTCCACCGTCCATGGATATTTCGCCGATAATTTCCTAATATCGCGATATTTGGCCGAAAAGCTTGCGGATACCACTTTTAATATCGCCGTCCCGAAAAACCGATAATATCGGCGATATTTCGCCGATATTATCGGCATTTTCTTCCCTGCTTTCAACCAATTAATATCGCTGCAATTTGACCAACTTGCTAATTTTCCAAATTTGCTATTGCTCGATTATTTGCTTGGCCCCCTTGCTGGAGAATTTGATGCCCTTCAGTAAGAATTTGCAAAAGTTAGAATTTGCTAAAGTTGAGTGGTTGTTTGCTAATATTACATGTTAGCATGAACCAGCTGTGCAAAAGCTTATACCCTAATCTACCCTAAGGAGCAGGGTTTGAAATCGAGATGCAATGACTTGAAGAAAATTGCACTAAACACAAGGATAATCTTCTTTTTTATATATATAATTTTTTTAATAATAAAATGAGAATGCACTACCTCAATGTAATATTATTTCTGAAGAGGAAATATAAGAGGTTTAATTAGTACAACATTACCATTAACATTCAATTTCAAATTTCCAAAAACTATTTCAAATTTTTGGTTACATAGTAAAACATCACTAAAGAACAATAATAATTAAATAGTAGACATGGTCAATACCTATGTCATTGAACTTGTCAACTATACTCTCTCAAAAACTTGCATACCAAGTCTCTTTGTTATTTGCTCAACACGAATGCAAAGTGTGTTTTGTGCATTGCCTTAATACTGCGTTTCAACATCGATTGGTCACTAGCCACGAAACATTGGGAAGACAGGGAACCTCATCAATCCGTCCTTACAATGTAAACCATCATGCTCGCCGCAAGCGAAGTAGTAAGGCTGCCACCTCTTGAGAACAAACTCAAAGCCGTCTCCGCCTCCTTGTGTTTGATTTCCCGCCATTCTTGCTCGACTCAAGTCACAGTTCAAGAAGCTCCAAAAGTCTTGGAACAAGTAGACGCTGTGAGGACGTGTGGTGTTATTCGGTGGATCATACTTGAAAACTGCAAAACACCATTTATCATGTAACTATAGTTGTTCATTTCTATGAACAAAAGAAAAAGCGTTTCTCATGCTGAACAAATTGTGCAGAGAAAACATTCTAGTTACATTAGAATTTAAACGGGCGATATTTTTCGATTTTAGGTCGACCGCTTGACATGTTATGTTTCAAAGTTCCCGATAAAATTTGCAACAAGAATTGAATACGGGGAGCTAAACAAGTAAGATCTTTGCAAACAACAAGTAAAGCCAAAAATGCACAGAAAAATGGATACTCACCGAGAGTGTCCTTGAGGTAAAATGGTCCATTCTTCAAAGCCCATTCTGTGTAGTTGAATCCGAAATGCCAGTTTTCTGAGCCACCAACAGCGATCTTGTTTGGTCCTTGGGTCTTATTGAGGTGATATGAGCCATGGCTGAAGCCCCAACCGCTGTAATTACCAGATTGCCAATCCTTATTGGCTGTGCTAACTGCCAGCATTGAAGCAATTAGCACCATTGCTAGTGTAATTTGAGCAAAATTGGAACCCATTGTTCCCTATCAAATGCAACAACTGGTGGAAGATAGGGTGAAATTTAGAAGCTAGGGAGGATGAAACTTAAGAATGAGATTGTGGTGAATTTAGAATGAGTAAGTTGGTGCTTTTGTAGGCCAATTAAGTAATGCAAAATGACCGAATTTATAACACCTTTTCAACATTGGTGGGTAAGATGAAGAAAATAAGTCCTAATTAAGTTTCAAGTCTCCCTCTAAGAGTCACTCTTCCACTTTTGTATCTTAAATTCTCCTGTTCTCAATCATCATGCTTAATGTCTTTGCTATGTCAAGAATGAGATTTGTGTTTCCTAATCACCAGAGTTAAAGAATCAAATTAATTGTGATGTGGATTAGAAATATCCATATTGTTTTTCTTATTGATTTGAGTGGTATTTGAATTAATCTTGTCTGAACTACGGAAAGAGAATTTGAATTTGGGTGTAAAAGGGAGATCACACTACTCTTAACTAACTAGGCTAAACATAAGTTTGCTAAGCCTCCAGTTTTAACAAAAGTATTAGCAACAAATTGAGGACTCGTATGTGATGTGCTTCCTTCTGATTTTGTCTCTCTATATAAGGGACCTAAAGCTGTCTATATCAAGCGTATCGGTGGTATTACTAGCAACCTCCACTCCTCTATGCATGTACTTAGGAGGAAGTTATTAAGAGAGCTACTAGACCCACTCCATTGTCTTATTTCTCTGCTCATATTATAATCCCACCCACCATAAAAAGTTACAAAATTAAAATGCTATTTTCTCACCCACTTTTATTCCTAAAATATTCTCATTAGCACTCTCTCTCCACTCTGAGCTTGTCTCTAAAATTATTGCACCAGTGGTGAAATAATTTTAGAGCACTCAGTGATAGACTTTGCACCATTTTTTTTTTCTACTAATCAAACTCAATACACTTTACAGAAGACTACCCTTCCTCAGTTCTTCTTCCACACTTGTGTATAGAAATATTTGCATCTCTATACATATGCAGCAAGTCCACATTACATATCAATTCATGCTGATATCCATTGTTGAAACATCCAACCACAACAAAAACATTAAATTTGAACCGCACAGTGGCCGGAGAAAGCAGAGAAGAATCAAACTATGGTTACCTGGTTTTTGGGTTCATCTTCGTCTTCAAGATTTTTAGGAGAATTAATATGCAAAAATGTAGAAAATGTGCGGAATCGAAACGATTTCAAGCTAAAGTTGCACTGGGATTTTATTAGGTGAGTTAGGGTTTAAGGGTAGATAATTGTTTGTGAATAGAAGGCTATCTTTGTCTTTATTGATCATTTTACAAATGAGTCAACTTGTAATTAAAATTTTCATTAAAAAGTGGGTGAAGAAATAAGACACTGGAGTGGAAATAACAGCACTAGTTAGTAAATGGTTGAATAAGTGAGAAAAATTAGAAAAACAGAAAGTGAATGCAAAATATGAAATTGAATTTCTATATATATTAAGTTAACACCCGTGCTTCACTATATATTAAGTTAAACACCCTAAAAGCTTCACAATATCATACTCTTCTTCCGATTAGAGTTTCAAAACAAAACAATTAAATATAATAAGAATAAAATAGTAATTTTTCAACATGTTTCAAATTGATCTCAAAATCCACCTAGTGGTCGGTTAGTTATTTTTCTTTGGTTTCTATATATTATAATAATAAATTATTATCATAAATGCCCCTAAAATTGATCTACACCATCAAGATGGTCCCTGAAATTGAAAATTAATCAATGAAGCCTTAGAAATAGGTGTCTCACATCATAATGGTCCTTCCTTCGCAATTTTGTAAAAAAAATTGTTATGTTCTATGTGGCACAAAAATGGGTTCAGCAAGTCTAATTAAATTAAAAATAAATTAGAAATAGATTTAATAATTTAATAATTAATTAAAAAAGTTATCACCTCCTATCCCAACTCACACTCATCTACCTCCATCTATGGTAGCCTTCACCTTCGTTTCTCTGAAAAAATAAATTCTTAAGACACCCATCGTTACACCTTTCATCCAATTGCACCAGGATCAAGACCACCTTCAGTGACGGCTTGGATTGGCTACGACTTTTGTGACAGCACCATCAACATTTAGGCGATCAATAGTCTCAAAACCTAGAGCTCCTCCAATGATCTTGGTGACACGGAGAACAACGAGCTCTGCCTTGAGATAATCTCACTGTGCAAAAAGGTATTTGGACAAATTTTTAAATTCATTATTACTCAGATCATCACATAATATTATTTTTGACATAATTGTGACGGAATGACTAAATTGATTTGCGACACAATTTTTAGGGACTATATTGATCGATTTTCAATTTCAAGGTATTTATGTGCTACACCAATACATAACAGAACTTTGACATAATTGTGACAAAATGACCATATTAATTTGTAACACCTATTTTCAGGGACTATATTGATTATTTTCAATTTCAGTGACAATTTTAACAATGTGAGTCAAATTCAAAGTCCGTTTATGATAAAAAAAGCCAAAAATATAAAGTTTGATTCGTTAAGTACGTGGCTTCTCTAGTTTCCTAATGAACTTATGAATTAATAATATGGAAGCGAACACCTAACAAATTCATAAACATTAATTCCTCCCAAAAAAATGAAGCAACAAAGATCGATACCCTTCCAAAAAGATTGATAAGGGAGTCAATGGGTCGATTCAGATTGGACGGATACTCTCCTCTCAACCGAAAACAGGGTCAACCATTTTCTTTTGAGTTTGAAAGCTGTTTGAAATAGAAAAATCAATGTCAAATTGTCAATGCAAATTTTGGGGCATTGCGATTTTAACCGAACTACTCGAGTGGGGGAAACTAGTAAGAATTGCCGCCTAAAAGTTGTGGAAACTTTCATCATGGTTATGTCATACGTATGTTGACATACTGATGACATCCACAAATTATATACAAAATCATAGCATAACTAGGAGGAATCTTTCTACATATAAGGAACCATCTCTTTACATGCTGAGATGAAGTTTTGAGGTGAAACAATAGCGGTTTCATTAACATCTTAATAAAATGTACAAACTTCAAATGAGCATTTTGGATTAAATTTAAGGGCTTTTCATACAAAAAGGACTCCAAAACAAAAAAAACAAAGAAAAGACCAGGTCAATTTGGCCCATTTAATAGCTACCAAATCCATAAGACCTTCAATCCCATCAACTAAAAATTCAATCACTTCATAACAGCATGGGAGAATATGCGCACAAAACTGCCAACAAAACTGGGGAACACTCTTTGCATACAAGCAATGCCGACTTCGAAGGGGAACTACAAAAGAAAGATTGCTACAATAAAGACTTTGCGCATAAAACAACCAGACCTGACAATTTCTTACACGGCATGAAAATGACACAAAAATTATGGATTTCAGGTCAACACGATAACTAATTGGGTTGTTACCGGGCCACATGATAAGAACTCGTTAATAACGGGTCCTTAACAGGCTTACACGAGAGTGATGCGGGTAACCTGTTTCGACACAATAAGGAAAAAATTATTTTGATGATTTTAATTTTTTAAACTACTAAAAAAACTTACTATAAAATACAATTGAGATATTTGAAGATTTATATGCATATTATATACTATTTTTCTGGGAAAGTATACATGTTTTACAGCGAGGGGTTAGAAATGTTATTAACTGAAATATTTTTTAAAAGCGTTGTTTTACTGACCCACTCAATCTTGTTTTGCGCCCCTCCAGGTTTTAGTTAGCAGTGTTGGTGGCTCACGAGGATTCCCACGGTGTTCTGACAGAATTCACAAAAGTAGGACTCACCCCCGGGTGTTACATCTTAGTAATTGTATCTTTAAAGCTTTCGAACTGTTTAAATGGTTATGTTACTCTCACGTGACGGCCAGCATGCCCTCCTTCGGGACGGGGTGTGTCAATAGATAAATGGATACATATATATTGTTTATTAATTATTATTGTATTATTATTCTAAATAAATTTTAAAATTTTAAGTTTTATTTATTTATTTATTTATTGTTATAGTATATTGTAGGCAAATAGTGATATTAAAAAAATTAAAAAACACATTAAAAATAAAAATATCAAGCAATTAAAAAATACCAAACACATTAAAAAAATTATAATAATTAATTTACAAGTGTAAAATAATGTGAAAAAAATATGCAAATGCTCGTAATCGCATCATCTACGTTTTGAGGTTGGGTACATTATCGTTTGATTTTAAAACCATACAAACCCTCATAAATAGTATTTTTAAGGGAGTTCAAAATAAATAAAATTCATAATCATTAATGTATAAGTCAAAAAAATGTGAAAGCATATATAAACGCTCGTAATTGCATCCTCTACGCTTAGACGATGGTTACATGGTCGTTTAGATTTTTAAAACCCTCCAAATCTCATGAATAGTGTTTTTTATTTGAGTACAAAATTAATAAAATTAATAATAATTATTTTAGAAGCGTGAAAAATGTAATATATATATATATATATAATATCACTTGTAATGACAAGCTTTACAACTTTCGTGAAAGGGTCAACTCCGAAATTTAGTATGTATATACTAATTTAATATTATGTTTTACATTTTTTTGGGTCAAATTATGTTTTTCATTTTCATTATTTATTGATTTAAAATATATTTTTCTTAACGGGTAATAGGTCAGGTCATATTACCTGAAAATATTAGCGGGTCGATTTCAGGTCAAGTCATATTACCCGTTTACTTTAATGAGTGTTACATGACATGACCGGTTAAGTTATCGTATATGACACGAAAATGACACGAACACGAGAAACACGACACGAATGTCAGGTTTAAAAACAACCAACGAAACAACAAGTTGCATCAGAATTTTGAACATTACTTGTTTAGTCAAACTGACCTTCAAAAGGCAAAAAAAAAGGATCGCGGACATCAACTTGTTTTATCATGTGTGCATTATAACATGGGTTTTTATTACAAATAGTTCTTGAAATTGACCCTCACCATTAAGATGGTCCCTGAAATTAAAAATCAATCAATATAGTTCCTAAAAATAGGTGTCACAAAT